ATTCTGATGTTGTCCCACCAGCCTCAGTTGTTGGTGGGCCAGTAGAAATTTTGTCTGATGGTGTTGTTGTCTCAGTATTCTCTGTTGTTACTGAACTAATTGGACTTGTTGGCTCAGATTCTGATGTTGTGCCACCCACCTCAGTTGTTGTTGGGCCAGAAGACATTGTGTCAGATGCAGTGGTTTTCTCAGTAGGATCTGTTTTTACTGAGACATTTGGACTTGTCTCAGATTCTGATGTTGCACCATTATCACCAGATGTTGTCAGAGTACTTTCATGGCTTGAGTATGATAAAATGGTAGGAACAAAAGTTGTAATATTTCCAGAATCTGTTGGACTTGTAGATCCATCTTTCACACTTTCCTCAGCTGAATTAAAAAATAAATCTGTGGAATAAGATGACATGTTTTCACATTTCAGATTGAATTTTTATGTGTGTATGACAAATAAAGAACCTTGAATCCTTGAATCTTGAAAACAGCTGAAACATAGAGTTCCTTTAAATCAAGACTAAACCCCACCTGTTTAGAGTTGCCTTTGAACTATAATAAATGGAACATTGACCAACATATTTGATGGCACTCGACAAAATATAATGTTTGTCACTGGTTTCTCAATTGGTGACTGTATGTTGTTTTTATGACTGTTTTTTATGATTTTGAGTAAGCAACTTAAGTGAGTGAGAATTTTCTAACAAAAACTCTTTGCTTTTAAGATAAGGTTTTGTAGCTGGTCACCAGGGACTCATTTCTCTTTTCAGAAACTCTAAAGCCTTTACTTTCTTGGCTGTTGCTTGTAAACATAAAACTTCTGGTTTCTCCACAGTTTTTCTACAGGTTTGGGGTCTTGGAACTGGCTAAGTCACTTAATGATCTTATTGTTCTTTCAGATTGTATCTCACTGGACTGCAAATTTTTCATGAATAGCATTTATGTGGGAATCCCCAAAGTGTCTCATACCATTCATGGTAACTCTCAGTTTCCACATTTTGTGAGCTGTCTCTGAAGCTCCGCAGAGTGATGCGGAGCTTCAGAGACAGCTCATAAAATGTCTGAATTGCAGATATATGAAAAACAGTTACAGTACTTGTGGATATTAAACTTCTGTACCAACTGCTCAAAAGAGGCAAACTTATTATCAACATAGAGATCATGTATGGAATGTACTTCATTCAAGTCCCAGGCATCAAAAGCTGTATCAGCTACTGAGTGAGTAAACAAGATTATTTGACAATGATGCCACAAATAGTAACTCTGAAGAGTTAAATTCCCTCCTGAACTGATTCCATATTTTGATTGTCCAGATCACAGTTGGGTTAGATGTGTAGGTTGACATTGGCTGTTTATAAGGTAACTGAGAGCAAAGTGCAGAGTGAGAGCTGTATTTAATTGAGGCCCTCTCCAAAATCACCCAAATGGCGTAATAGAGCTATAATATTTGCTGCCCAGTAATAATGCATTAAGTTAGGAAGTGACATGCCTGCAAGACTACAGGGCAGGTGCAATACCTTCCTGGCAACTCATGGATGTTTTGTTTTGTTTTCAAATAAATGCTGATAGCTGGTTGTTCAGATTGGAGAATAATTATTTAGTAGACAAATATGGCAGGCTCAGAAACAAATAGAAATTTAGGTAGAATATTCATTTTGACAGAGTTCAGTCTAACCCCCTGGGTATGTGGTAGGGTTTGTCATTTAGCAATGGCTTGCTTAATGTTTGCCAGAAGAGGTGGATAATGGGTAGTTTTTCAGTTTTTTTTTTTGTTTGTTTTGTTTTTTTGGCTTGGTTGCTCTTGGTGGGAAGCAGACGCGTCCTCCTCTGCTCCATCCCTCGCTTCATCACTGTTTTGCTCTTTTGTGTTCTGAACATTTTCAGAGCCCCTTTGTTGCATATCTTCTGAATTGTTAACAATGGATTTGATCAGCTGATCTCTCAATGAAATTAATCAACTTGTCTCAACAGGTGGTCAGGGTGAAGGAGAACCCTCTTATCCTGATGCATGCTCAATAATCCAGGTAGAAAAATCCAAAAAAGTTCAATCTGGTCCTCTGGACATTCAAAAAAACAAAAGCAAAACAAAGCAAAAACAATCTAGAAACGTTTCGTCTCTCATCCAAGAGACTTCCTCAGTCTGAGGTGCTGTTTTCAGCTCAGTCTCTTAAATAGCACCTTCTTAGAGTGGATCAACCAGTTTGCTGCTGACAACCAAAACCAGCTGATCACATGCTCAAGAAGGAGCATCAGCCTAACAATGGGTCATTAGCACACTGATGGCTGTTTACTAC